AGTATAAGTTCTTTAACCGAATCGCACATTTTTCAAATGGTATTGGGAAATTACCTCCATCCTTTCGACAACATTAGCAAAAATAAAGAGGATATTTCAAACAAAGCATTAAAAATGCTATACAAGGTTTGGAAACAAAGATCTGAAACTGTAACCACATCTTCTGCTGGCGGCATAAAGTGGAAGAAAACCAAAGCATCTGCCTCGTCACCTCAAGCGAAAAATAATGACAGTGTTTTCAATACTATCCTAAATATATTAGTGTCTAATCACTTAAATACTAACAAATATATATTTTCCACTACACCAACTTCTTTGTTCTGAATGAGCATTAGCCATTCGGCAATAATATTGTCAACCCATTCACGCAGTGTCAGTTGGTTTTGTTATTTTAGTTGCAATAGGCTACAATTAACTTACTTATGTAAAGATTGTTGATGTAATGATTATAAACATCTGTTTAATAAAAATCATGCATCTAATGCTCATTTGCAAAAAAAAAAAAAAAAAAATTATATAAATATATTTTTAACTTGAATATTTTATAGAGATATATAATTTTAAAAATTTCAGGTTTCAAATATTCTAAAGAAATATAGTAAAAAATATAGTATTTTAGTCACTTTGCATTTTTTATTGGCTTGTTCATATTATTTGTATAAATAATTTAATATTACTTATTTTACCATTGATATTGTTATATTATTATATATATAATTAAAAATTTCACAATAACAATTATTAAAAAATTAATAATATCTATAAAATCTAAACAAACAAGCAAGCAACACACTAACAAAATAATAAATATTTTTATAAAACAAAATTACATATTAAAATTTTAAACAATTATAAAAAATTAAAATTATTTGTTTTACACATTTAATTTAAATTTACATTAGATTTAAAATTCAATTTACCACTTACTGTATATACTGTATATACTGTGTGGATTCTCACCATGTACACGAGTATATGGTATATAAGTTTATAGTATGTAAAAATAAAAATAAATTATTTTTATTTTTATTTTTTTATTTTTTAAAATTGTATAAAATTATGTTGAATCACATGAAAAAAATCATAAAAAATAAATAAGCAGGGTAATGCCATAAACAAAAATGTGAATTGTATTATGGTCTGCATTCTAATCTTGAATGTGAGACCAGAAAATTTTATGGGAAATTCATTAGATTAATCTTTTGTTACCGGGGCTATTCCAAAAATTATTTTAATAAAGACGTTTATGCAAAAAGAAACATTTACGTAACTAATGTAAATCATTTTAAAAGATTTATTAGAAAATAGAAAAAAAAAATAGTATGGTGATATAAAGTAGCAAGCACTACGTGTATCTTGAAATGGAACGAGGATATAAGGGACCGCAATATTTCCAATTAATAATAGAAAGCACCATAAAATTCTTAGATGGCGCCTTGTTCCGCCCGTTAATCGTAAAAAAAGAAAAAAAAAAAAAAAATAGAACGCTTACGGTCCATTTTGTGGGACAATAATCGATAGCCAAATTTGTATTCAATCGAGAATATAATATTTGCATGAAATGGTGGACACAACATGAATTATAAGGAATTGTTGTTACTCGTGTATCAGGAGATTAAAAATAACAAATTATTTGTTTGTAGCCGATGGCATAAATAATCTGATATTTACCAACTTTACCACTTAAATCTAGTGCAGCGAAGAACTATAATCACATACCAATGAGCAACGAACCTTGTCTGTAATATTACATAATGTGTCAATGTCAAGTGTCAGACTAATGTAGGCTGATTCAGAATTTGTTGAAACTATTGGTTATGGTTAATTGGAAATGCGGGGGGCAATTACGTAGTACATGCGTGCATACCAAGAGTCAATTGGTGTAGAAAACTCTCGAGAATATAAACAATAACGACAATTTAAATTTTCGACACCGATAAACTTGGTATCATTGATTCGACCATTTTTTATCATCTGACAAGGGTTTCCTCGTAACGTGATCAAACCGGATTGAGATTTAATCGCATTCTTTGGCATGAAATAGTTACTGTAATGCGTCTAAAAAATTCACGTACCGAGGGCTTATGCATACATACGGATACGTACGTACTGTACGTAGCCGTACGTAGCTGAGCTAAACACAATTACAAGTAAGTATGAGCATTTGCATACAATAAGAACGAGAGTAGATGAATGCTCAGATATCTTTGAAATCTGCCCGTTACAAAATGGCTAGGAAAGATTCTATTTTACAATGTGTTGTAAGTGTAAAATGATATTCTGGGAGCAACTTATTCATTTTTATTGCTGTTGTTTAAATAAATCTATATAGTACATATCAAAATATGTTCCATGAATTCGTCTTTCTAATCCGGGTTTTCCCGCTTTGTGAATCGAGAAAGTCTGAACTTACAAGAAGGTTTCTTGGGTATATCAATTAGTATTGATGAATTCACTTATAGATTCGAATAAGAAAACGGGAAAAGGTTTTTATTCTAAGGGAACAAGGACCCCCTGAGAATGGGATAGCGCTTTAAATTATTACAATAGAGTTCATAACAATGAATGGTACCACTATTCGAACAATACCTCGAGTAACCGTTCAATTGGCGAAAAGTACATTTCGACCAGGTGATTTTTAATATGTTTGATATTTGATTAACTCCCTGTGTAATGGCGACTTTGCGACTCTACAACATTCTCCGTCGATGGCGTAAATTCGCGAGGACAATTCTCGTTTCGATGGATTTTCATTGCTTATTACGATTGTACATGCACGTACTACCTTCATGCCTCATTTCAATACACAATTAAATCGTCCCAAATATACACTACCACAACTTTGCCCTTGCATGGATGGACTTATCTAGTTGTATATGGTCGTTGGTGGAATGTTAATGATAAAGAGCAATAAGAGGTGGAGTCCCAAGGTGTGTACAGTGCCATTTTTCATTATTTTTAAAAAAAAGTACGTAACACCACCTATTAATTAGCAGCATATGAAAAGCATGATTGATTATCCACTGAAAGACCGTGAACCAAACAGGTTTTTTTTATTTCTGACCGAGTTACGTGATGTGTATTGAGAAATTACTATATCCGATAAGGATATGCGTAAAGCGAATGTTTGGCAAACCTCGCATATTTTTTTTTAGAAAAATCCAATAAAGCATGTTTAATTGGACACAATCAAAAATACTCCATTTCACATGCTTTACCATAAATTTAGCAAGAACAATCTTAAAACAGAAACTCTAATTTGCTTATTGTTACTCAACAGACAATTTACTAACCTAAATTTCAATTGCGCACATTGGTTAGCAGTTTTATTTGTCTGTCGACACAAAGAACTTTTTCCAACAAGCCAGCAAACAATACGACAAAGGGTATGCCTCTATGTAAGTACACACATACATACTGCCGGACGTCCATTGTCGGGCGTAGATTACTCATAACCTTTGCATTTGATGAATACAGTGCTCGTCGTCGCTATTGCCTTGCCATCACCGTCACGGAGAATTCTGGAGAGCATGGATCTCATTAATTAATTAATTTTTCGTGAAAACTTAATTCTCGAATGTGCAGTGATTTCCGCTACCTTTTTTCCTTTGGATATTTGGATACGCGCATGAGTTCTGTGCGGCTATGCGTATCAAAAAAAAAAAACCATTAGGTATTTTCAGCGAATTTCATCGCTTGATTGTTAGTTAGCCTTTGTTAGCTTCACTTTTTGTATTTCGAGAAACAAAGTGAAATCCGAGACGCAATCAAGCCAAAAACAATTTTCATGATACTCCTACTCCTTGTCACCCCATCACCATCGTATCTCGCAACAAACAATCATCACTATTTGGATCACGCCCCGTCGATTATGCCAAATTCACAGTTGGAAAACATCTTGACCATCAAATTTAGAACAAACACTGTATACGGTATAAAGGTATGTTATCACGTACACAATCAATCAAAGGAAACTTTGCACTCTATAAACACAATACTAGATATACAGCATATTTCTATGCACCAACGAAAAAAAGCACTGTATCACGCATCATCCGTTTTGCATCAGAATGCATACGTACGTACACCGACAAATATCCGTTATGCTAAAAATACTTAATTTAACGGAAGCATCTTTACTTTATTGTTATATGCAGCTTGATACTCTAGAGTTATTGTTCTACTCGCTGATTTCTGTATGGTCTGGTCCAACATGTCATGTAAATCGAAAAGTGGTGTTAAACATTTTACACTACAGAAGTTGAATGCATGTATAAAAAAGAATAATTGCACCGCGTATTTTTGTTACATTCCTATTTTCCTGAGCTGTTTCATATTTTTATTTTTTCGTTATAATACTCTACTGTGGCTTTTCACGTTTCCTCAATTTTTTTTTTGCTTTACTTTTATCAGTTAGACTTCAATTCATACAATTCATACAACGATCCCCCTCGTGTCGAGTCAATGGCAAAAGCGTAACTACCTTAAATGTTGTGAAGATTCATACGCACCCCCCCCACCCAACAACACACCTATCTTATTAAATCTTAAAAACTTCTTTTTTTAATCTTTACTGTTGAGAACGAGTGACACGTTTTTTTTTGTTTTTTTTTTTGCTTTTTTACGAGGAATTATTTCATCCTTCAATTATTTACCTTAGTCCTAATTCTTTTTATTCACTTTTCTTAATTTCTTTAATTAAAATTTGTTAATTTATTGCAATCCTCTCTATCGACCACCTCGCTTAAATGCGTTCGCGGAAGATTAGAAAGTCAACATAACGAAAACATTCAAGATTAATAAGTAGAATAAAATCGTCGAAGCGGGCTAGATTGATAGAACTTTTTTTTTTTTAAAAAAAAAAAAAAAAAAAAAAATAGAAAATCAAACCAGCTGGCTGGGAAAAATTAATTAGAAAAAAAAAACAGGGCGAACGGACGAAACAAAAATTAGTATCTGACGATTCTAAAAAAAAATTTGTAAATATTATTAAAAATATCATGGCAAATACCGGAGAAACTCGTCCCAAAGAATTGACGGTGACGACGCCAAGTACGGTGCAAGTTGGTGAGTTCAATTAACTTCGACGTTTACTTTTACGGATTACGGTGTCACGCCAATATCTTATTAACTCAATTCAATCGACATCTTAATAAAGCGCTCCGAATAAAACCCACAATAATACTGGATTCAACAATAACGCATCCAATAGCATCGGCATCACACGAGCCATCTTTAACAGGTCATCATCATCCAATAGTAACTCCTTCAAACGAAGTACCCAATCAAGTGATATTCAAAACTCTTGAGAATTCCAAGGGAGATGCCGGGGAAGAAGGGAATTCAGAAGACAAGCAAGTATACACTTTTGATCACGTGTTCGGCGAGGAATGTACCCAGCAAGAGTTATACGAAAGCGCAATAGAGGGATTGATTGAGAAGTTTTTGGACGGTGAGTACTTGTGCAATGAAAGTGACACGCTCTTACGATCGAGAAATAATAAGCTAATAATACCCTTCATCCAAAATACCAGGTTACAATGTGACTGTCTTAACCTACGGAAAGACTTCTTCGGGAAAATCCTATACCCTTGGCACCATTCCTTCATCTATTTCAGCTTCGTCCAATGACTCTGACACCTCCTCAACGTCTTGCATCATAGATCACCAATCCGGCATAATACCGCGTTCTATGAATTCTCTATTCACTCTAATAGAAAATTTGGAGAAATATAAATCTAATAAAATCTCCCTAAAGGTTTCTTACGTGGAGGTTGTAAACGAGGATCTCATTGACCTATTAGATCCGCCCAATTACTTGTTTAATGGAGAAGACGACAAAATGGGCGGCATGGGAATAAGAAATGGAAGAGATTCTTCAACCGGGCATAGAATTGGTGAAATGAGCAACAACGAAATTGGTATGTACTTTGGTCACAATGAAATCCCATACCTTAAACCATTGGTGTTGATACGTGAAGACGCAAAGGGAAATATTCACTGGAGTGGATTGCAGGAGATCGGTGTAAATAATGCTAAGGAGGTTATGGAGTAAGTACGATCTTATGCAACTATAGTTCTATCACTTTCACTTATGCACAACTTCTAACCAATTCCTCTGCTGTTAATTATTAACGATCAGACATCTCACACGAGGCATAGAAAGCCGTCACAAAAATTGCTCGGATGTCTCCACGAGCATCGCTCCAAGATCGCACACCATTTTTTCTGTAACAATGACTCGGCAAAAATTCATTCGCAGCTCCACACCCACTTCATCATTAACTTCACATACTGCTTCATCCTTATCTCGAAGAAGTTCAACGACTCCTCTTTCATCAGGATCACGTCCTTCGAGCAGGATGAGTGTATCAACAAGTAACTCAAGACCATCCAGTCGAACTGGAAATGAAAGTCGACCTACTTCGCGTGCGAGTTCGAGTCTAGGGATCAGGAATGATGAGAGCGGAGAGCGCACCACCATCACAAGCAAGTTATGGTTTGTAGAACTATCGGGTAATGAAAAGGTAAATTTCTAACAATTTGTTCTTTTTTTTTCTAATTTATTCGATGAGAGTCCAGTGTGTTCACAAGTATTATTTGTTATTGTTGATTCTTGACGTTGCAGTCATCATCATCAAATGGCGATCTCACGACTTCCGAAGTTGTACGCCCAAATCCTGGTCTACTATCATTGGAAAACATAATCTCAATTTTGGGCACATCAAAGTTAAATTCCTCCACGAAATCCACCTCTCATCATGACATACCTGTACATATCACCCCAAATCGCGATAACCGTATAGTTCCTTATCGTGACACAAAGCTCACTCGTCTCCTTCAAGACTCTTTTGGTGGCAGCGCACATACGCTAATGATTGCTTGCGTGTCACCTGAAGAATGTGATCGCGCTGTGACCCTTGATACTCTTAGGTATGCCTCTCTCACAAGGAACATCAAGAATTTTCCATCGAAAAATGTGAAGGTTACGAGTGTTGGAAATGCTCGAAGGAATTCCTTAACACGAGAAACCGCGGCCAGTAGCGCACGAAGAGCTGCAGCTGGTAACGACCGAAGGAGCACCACACCAACTAATGGTCATATACGAAAGAAATCGATGGATGTGAAGCACTCGGAAAATGATGAACCGGGATGGCACGAAGTGAAGAATTTGCAATCGACCGTGATCAAGTTAAGAGCCGAGAATAATGCTTTGAAGATAGCGCTTTCCGCAGTCGAAAAACCTGGTCAAGCTAATGGTCGTTCAACGCCTGTTTCCGGACGAACACCGGGAAGGATCACCCCGACATTAATTCCGGGCCGGAGTACTCCCACCAAACCTCGATCACCACTTGCAACGTTTTCATCGTCAAAAACTTCGTTATCACAACAGAATCAGCAATATTACGCGGAACAACTGGAAGAGATTGAAAACCATTATTTACAATTGAGACAGTCGTACGCAGAACTTTCGCTCAAGTATGGACAGGCATCGGCAGAGCTCGCCTTGTATCAAGATAATCGTGAAATAACTTCTGCCTATCCTACCTCACCATTCGGCGTTTCCAGTCGTGATGGTGAAAGGAATTTCACCTCAATCGCCGAGCCTATCATCAAGGAATACGAGAAGTCCATCGCCATGCTAGAAGATAAACTCATAATCACACAGGCCGAACTTGATCACTCGGAGCTAATGCTTAAAGAACACGTGGAAGCCTTGGAAGAGGCCGATCGTATCCGTGAACACGATTTGAATACTGCCGCTAGCTTGCAAAAATACATTGTGGAGCTTGAAACGAAATTAGAAAAACATGAATCAGAAGTTATGTTACGCGAAACTCGTGATGAACGTCCTGAAAAATTTATTAGTGAGACTGTAATATTGTTAGAGCAACGATTGCAAGAGAGTGAAGAGGCATACAAAGATCTAGAGATCAAGTTAATGAATGCCGAGCATGCGAATAACAATAATGAAAGAATAGAGACACTGGAAAGATTATTGCAAGAGAAGGAAGATGACTACAATTCATTGGAGGAAAAATTTAAATTGCTTGATTGCAGCGCAGAAAAGAAGAACATGATGGATCAATTGGAGGTGCCACTTTCTCCCACAACTCGAATTGGATTCTCTGATACTCAACCAATCGGTGGAACCGATCAGAACAATTTGCTGACGGTTCTATCACTCGAATCAAAGCTTTCGGAAGTTGAGAAGGCCCACGAGGAAACTGTGAGTGAATTGACTGTGTTGAAGAAAAAACACAAGGAATGCCTTGATCAAATAAAAGATCTACAATCGAAACTTAAGGAAAATCAAGAACCGATTGTGGAAAGAGATTCTAGCTTAGAACGAAAATTGACCAAAATGCAAGATCTTTATAATAGGAATTTAACAAGTCTTGCAGATTCGAGGTTGAAATATCAGGCCAGTATTCAATTGATTCAAGAACTTCAAGGTCAACTTGAAGAATCCAAACGCAAACATTCAGAGATGATGGAGGATCTGCGTTCCTTCTCTTCAACACCCATCTCTCCTATCACTTCAATCACTTGTTATTCGGATTCTCCAAGGGATGATACAACATCATCCCAGCGATCGTCAGTTACGGCTTTCTCCGGGAGATCTTCATTACATCGTAAGGCTGTATCGATGTCAGCATCTATGGATCTTAAGGGATCGGATAAATGTGATTTAGAATATTCGGCTATCATGGAGAAATTGCAATTTGAATTAAAATTGTTTGAGTCTTCCCCAAAGGATAAGCCAACTAGCTTGGATGCAATCCGACATGAACTATCGAGATTGGAGACCAAACATTTGGAAACCGTACAAGTACTCGATGGAATTCGCGAAGAACTCGAGAGACGCGACGCGTTAGCAACATTGCAAATCAGCTCGATGACGAATGCAGGTTCACTTAAAGACGATAAAGTCGATACACACTCAGAAGGACGTTCCACCCCTATCACAAGTCAGGCCGACGAGCTTGATATTGTACAGAGATTACGAGGAGAAGTAAATATGCTCAAGGAGAAGCAACGAAAGGTCATGGAAAACATATTCGAACGTGAAAAGGAAAATAAGCTCAAAACCGTGGAAGTTCATCAATTACAATCAAGTATAGGTGGACTCCGAGAACAATTGAGAGTTGCAATTGAGGAAAAACTGAGTCACGCCGAAAAGACTAACGGTAATGGCGAGACAGATTATGAATCGCACATAAGCGAATTGCTATCGAAAGTAAAAGAATTAGAGGCACAACTCGCAATCATTCAAGGATCAAACCACGAACCACAAGACACCGCACCAGAAGTGATTTCATACAATAACGTAAGTGAAGATGAAAATGAGAAGAAAATGGTAGAACTCCGTGAGCAAGTTGAAAAGCTACAGGTAGAGATCCAAGCCAAGAGTGACACCATCGCTACCCTCTTACTTCCAAATAATGAACAGGAAAATCAGATTCAGCGACTCGAGGAAGAACTCAGGGAGTTCAAGGAAGCTCATCGACTGGCGATCCAAGAAAAATATTATGATTCTCATAATTCTCCAGATTCACGAAGATCCCCAGATATTGAAGTACATGAGAATGCGACGACGTTAGGAAACACGGTCAAGGATCTAGAAATACAATTGTTAAGAGTCAAAGGACAGCATTCTGCGCCGTCTTCTAAACGAAGTTCAATGGTGTTTATCACAGACCCGATACAAAGAACGTTTGACATTATTCACTCAAACCTCGAGATATTGCAACAAGAGTTGAACGCAGAACATTCTAGCATTGATTGCGATAAGGAAAAAGAGTGCGTTGTCGATTCGAAGAAAGATTTGGTATCACTGATGCAATCAAATTTCGAGGTGCTTCGATCGGACATTAAACGTAAGAATGATCTTGTGGAAACCTTAAAGCGTGACTTGGTTGACAAAAGCTTGATGCAGCAAAAGCTTCATGAAAATGAAGTTGAGATTGAAGTTCTTACACAACAGTTGAGCGTCATCAAGATTCAGAATAAAGGAACACAGAAGCAAATCGAAGAACTTTTGGAACAACTGACCGAAGCAGAGAAGAATAGCAAAGAGGCTCAAAAATTGTTGGAATCTGAATTGAAGAACATAAAGGAGGAGCACAATACCCTGAAGAAAGAATACGATAATGTAAGAAAAGAATATGACAATGTCAAAAGCAGTAATTCTTCAACTATCGAGGAGCTAAAAGAAGAAATCGAACGTTTAAGAGCTGAAAAATTGGAACAAGATACGATGATAAAAACATATGAAACTCAACTTGAACTCTTGGCGCAAGGAGACCCAGATGTGGCTGCGTTAAGAAAAGAACTTGCGGAATTAAAAACAATCGAATCTCGATTGAAAGAGAGGGTACAAGAATTAGAATTACAACTTGAAATAGCAGACGCGAAGTCTAAAAAGTTGCAAAGTATGAAGGATGAGTTAAGGACCTTTAAAGAAGGAGATGTTGATAAAGATATAATTATCGAACAATTACAACATCAAGTTGCGGACGCCAAGGAAACAAAGGATGCAGTAGTTAATGAGTGGACAAGTATGAAGGAAAGTTTTCAAACTCAAACAAAGCTTGTAATAACCCTCGAAGGGGGCTTGCAAACTTTGATGGATGAGTTAAATTTGACCAAGAAAAATCATGCTGCAACATTGCAAGAAGTTGAAGAGTTAACGAATTTCCTGACAACGATCATGCAAAAACATGAAAGTGACGAAAAAAAGATTGAACTTTTGGAAAAGGAGGTTTCAGAATTAAAGGGCATTAACCAAAGGGATCCTTTGGAATGCCGTGAAAAATCAGAGGTTCCTACGCACGAGATAAAATCACAGGGCAAGCTTTTGAGCGAACTTGAACGCCAGATAGTTGACCTTGAAAAGGATAAAGAAACGCTGTCACGTGATCTCTTAGAACGCGAAAATCAACAGAAAGAGATAGCAGCGGAGTTTGAAGAAAAGATTGAAAAGCTAAATCTACAAGTGAATAGTCTAAACGTTATTATAAAAGAAAAAGAACAATTAATAGAATCTAAGGATTCTCTACTCGAGGAATTGAATAATAAGATTCTCCCGAGTTCGACTTTAACGGATAATACAGAGAACGCACAATCGTTGTTGGTAAAGGAATTGGAAAATTCATTGAAGGAACATGAAACAAGGTTAATGGAAGCTAATCGTAGGCTCGAACAAGCTAAAGAATCCGAGGTGCAGCAGACCGAAAAGATAAAAATGATGGAATCCCAGCTTCAAGAATCCCGTTCGCAACGAGATGAAGAAATCAAAGCCTTTAGAGAACAATGTACATTCTTAAAAAATGTGATCGAAAGCGCCGGGGAAAACAAAACTATTTCAGAAGAGCTTAAATCACAATTTATCCAACGTATTGAAGCTCTGGAGGGGATGGTAACCGAAAAGGAAAATGAAGAGCAATGTAAACTCCAATTCGAACTTGAAGAGCAAATCAAGACCTTAAAGAAAAATTACGACTTACTAAATGAAAATTTTACTGAGGTAGCTAATAAGTTTGTTGATGCAGAGGCTATTTCTGAAGAACAAAAGGAACGCATCGTAGAACTGGAGGCGGCGCTTAGAGATGCAAACGAACAAAAAATTTCACAATTAGACCCGTCATTAGACGTTAACAAGCGAAACTCGGTTCTCGAGAATCCCAAGTTTGCAAGATTATCCGCAGTTACTGAAAATTTGCAGCAGCATCATGAAAATCTGACTTCCAAAATTAGCGAAGTTGGATTCTGCGCTTCATCATTAACAGACAATCTGAAAAATTTAGAAGTCGAAATCGATCAATTAAAATCTTTAGATGATGTCGAATCGGTCGATGTGTTAAAAGAGAGAATCACCAAACTCAAGTCAGAAAAAGAAGAATTAAAACAAGTTAACGAAGCTTTATTTGAGGAAAAGAATGACGTTGATCATAAAATAAATTCCGTTCTAGATCAATTGAAGATGGCGAGTCAGGACGGAAGTAGAACAGCCGCTTATATTGCTGATCTAAACGCTAAATTGGAGTTACTTGAAGGTGAACTCGAGAGTCTCAGAAAGCACCCAAGGATTGAAAAAAAGAAAAAGGAAGTTATTGACAACGATAGTTCACAATCAAATAATCTCGATATTTTGAACTCTCAAAAAGAAAAGTATATCAATGAACTTGAAGGAAAGGTAGTTGATCTTGAACGACAACTACAAAGAAGCTGTACCAACAACCTGACAACGTTCTCTAAAACCACAAGGATGGAAATCCAAGAATTATATAAGATTATAATGGAGATGGAGGAACAGCGGCAAAAAGTTGAACAATCATTAGAAGAAGAAAAGAAGGCAAAGACTAACGCAGAAATAGCGTTGAGAGAATTACAAAACCAATTAGAAACACTTCAAGTTTCAACTAAAAAGAAGAAATTTAGATTCTTGTGTGTATAGATAAAATTAGATATAGTATTTTAATTTCTTGTAAATATATATGTTTTTTTCTAGTTTTGTATTTTACTGCATACGTATATAATAAATTTGAAAACTAAAACTTTCATAAAATTCACATACCTTTCCTGTAAAATATGATAAACGCCAATTTACATTTGTCGACAATTGCTTGTATAGGATCATAAAAATACCAGTATAAAAACGAACGTGAAGTTTTTATTATAAAAAAATCGAATAAAAAATTACTTTTAAAGATATCTGATGATTATACTAAAAAACGATAAATATCACAAAATATTACTTTAATTATATTTTAAATAGAAAAATTAAACAGTGTAAAAAAATTAAAAAAAATTTTTTTAATATAAAATAAGTACAGTATCTATCCGTGATTATTTTTAAATAATAATAAATTGGTTAAACAATTGTTTTATATGGTGACAAACAAAAATTAAAATTTTATTTAATAATCTATAATAAAGTATTTTTCAAAACCCATTATTGAAATAAATAAATTAAAATGCTTATTATATTTGAAAATTTTTTAGTAAATAATATACTGTATATACAGTTTGTTTAAAAAATCTTTGGACAAATATTTTTTATAATAAATAACAAATAATTAATGTATTTATTATAAAACTTTAAATCATATATATTTTTTAGAATATAAAAAATAAAATATAAAGTTTTTTGTAATGCATTATTAATAAATTTATATATAAATTATGGTCAAAAAATAATTTTTACTATATAAAAATTTTTATAAAAATTATTTAACTAATTTAAAAATAAAAAAATGTTTTTTATAATATACAAATTAATTTTATAAATGTTTTTTATAATGTGCAAATTAATTTTATAAAAATTATTTTGTTTTATTTTATAAAAATTATTTTGTTTTATTTTATAAAATCTCATATTTTTCATTAAATTTTAGGTTAATTTATTTAATTAAAAATTAATTAATTAGTTTAAATTAATTAAAAGTTATTTTTTTTTTTACTTAATTTTGATTTTATTTTATGAATTAATAAATTAAAACTATTGTATATAATTTATTTATTTATTTATTATAAGTTAATTAAATTAATACTTTTAAACAAATTTTTTTGAATTATTAATTTATTTTTAATAAATTTATTTTTTATATACTGTAAGTAGTATTTTCAGGTTTTCTAATGCATATCTCTAATTCAATATTTATAGAAAATAAAATACATAAATTTATTCTTTATTTATAGATTTATTAATTTTTTTATAAATATTATTTCCAAATATTCAAATCTAAATCAAATTAATTAAATTGTATAAAAATAGGATCTCTGATCTTTTTAATAATTATAGGCTAAAAACAGATCAAAGCAAAAAAGATTGCACAAAAAAAAGTTTCTGATTTAACTTTAATAAAAGCCTACAAACTCTTCTAGCATAACAAACTCTATCATATAACATGTTAACAAAAAATAATTTATCTTTGAAGAAATTGTTAACCTGGATATTAATATAAGAGTTTTAAAAATTTATAACTTATTAATATATAAAAATTATATTTTGCTTAATAATTTTGCTTTTAAATTTGATAGTTTAAATCAATCAAATTCTTTGAAGTATTTATTTAAAAATTTTAAAATCATATTCTATTTGATTTTAAAGCCTATAAATTTAATAGTTTGTATCAATCAAAGATTATAATTTTAAAACATTTACTAAAAAATATATATTTATATTTAATTCTTTTAGAATCTATAGCTATATAAATTAAAGTTATAAAATAAGAA